GCTTGGCTTGGCCGCAGCCTGGTACCAGTGAGAGCGTCAACACTAGAGGGTGTTTATTGGTCTTCAGAGGACTTATGCTGGGGAAATGCCAATGGAAAAGTGAAGTCTCCGCAGAGAGCAAGGAAATGTTGTCTCGGCAAGGCAAAAGTGCACTGTGAGTTTCTATGAAAGGTCAGGGGGTCAAGCAAGGTGCCAGAGGATATTACTGACAAAAATAAAACAGCACTTGTATTGCTGCTGTACTACTTTGCATTTATGAGCCCTGTAGTTCTATTCTGGGTATACAGTGTTACAAAAGCAAACTGGACGAGACAAACCTATAACATTACACACATAAGTAGATACAGACTGCATTTTATATTGATCTTTGGGAAAACCTTTTATGTGCAGGCTTTTAAACATAGTAAATCAGTGAAATTTGAGTGGATTGCACTCAGAAACAAAACCCAAAATTGCAGCTCTTAAAGGTATAGTTCACCCCAAAAATAACACAAAACCAATTGTTCTCACATGTCTTTTCCATACAATGAAAGTGGACAGTGATTTATACTGCCAAGCTCTGAAGGAAAAACAAAAGGACCATAAAAGTAGTCCATATAATTTGTCCTACATTCCAAGTCTTCTAAAGTCACAATAGCTTTGAACGAGTTAAAGACTGAAAATCATATTGAAAATATTACCGTCTGCCACAGTTCTCACATAGAATTTATATATACTTGCATATTCCAATTTGGTCCATCAAGACTGTCAGGTTTGACACCTAATAGCTGATTTCGACACAAGAAATCTGAATATGTGCAAGCACAAATGAGATTTGATATCTATGGTAATAGAGATGATTTTCAGCAATTAACAGTCTCAACAGCCCTTATCTCCATCAACTTCTATTGTACTTTTGCAATAGGTTGAACAAACACAGCCATAGCCAGCTAAAAACATGTTCCAAGAACATTTTGCTAACGCTCCTATTAGGTTATGAAAACGTTATTTCTGAACGTTCTCTGAACATTCAAAATTTCCAGTATTTTAAATGTTTAAAAAGAATGTTGTTAATAAAAGATTCCATTTAACCAATTTGCAAACACTGGGAATGTTAGTTTTGAATGATCTACAACAAGTAGTAACATTAAAAAAAAAAAAAAAAAACGTTTCATCCCACAGAGGGTTCTGACTGTGAGAATGTAAACCAACCACATTTGTTTTACATGGCATTTAGAGACGCATTTATCGGAAATACTAGTTACACTAAAGCTTTTTTTACAATTAAAAAAAAAAAAGAAAAGAAAAGAAATTACCACAAACATATATAAACTTTGTGATAAGAATCAAAAGTAAGTGCTCTTTCTCATAAACAAAGTGAAATACTTCTGCTGGTGGACATCAAGTTTACTTTCAGCTAATAAACCGAGCATCTTTTTGAACTTTGGTAAATCCAGGGATTAGTTCTTCCTCAAAAGTGCTCTTTTTTTATCAACCTTTTAGTTACATTATAGTTAACTAAAACTAAAACCATAAATAAAATAAAAATAAATATATGTATGTATGTATTGTGTGTGTGTGTGTGTGTGTGTGTGTGTATTAAGTTATTTAGTATAGTATTATATATATATATATATTATAGAATAACTTTATTTAATTTCTAATTTGGAAAAGTATTAATTTAAATTATTATGAACTTCTTGGGTTTTATGCACAAATATGTGCATATGGTAAATGAAACCCACTGTGTTTGAATTAAAGCAACAAAAAGTTTGTTGAACTTGAAGATTCCAGCAGCGACAGCTGTACTTTTAATATATTAAATGCAAGAAACATGGCAAAACATTAAACCCTTATAACGTAAAACACGGCTAAACACCTGCTCAGTCGTGCTACACAACATCTAACAAGGGTTGATTAGCCTGATTTGTTTTCCATTTCACACAAAGTCGAACATTCATTGCATAAAACATAACACAAAAAGACGAAAAGCCTTCATCAGCATTCATTTCACTCCATTACCGTTCCCTGTTTCCCCCTCCGCTTTCAAAAGCCCCTTGATATGTTGGCTATTACCAAGCTAATTTGAGAAGGCTAGAGCGTGAATGTGAGAGAAGCCTAGCGTGCAATCGTGCCTTCAAATGAGTAAAACGCTCGACTGCAGTACCTCGCAGCTCCCTCAGTCAGCCCGGAGAGCCGAGCTTTGCCTTGCTCTGGGAAGAGCGATTTAGGATGAAACATTGGAAATTTAGCATGTGTAATCCATCACGCCAAGTGAAGTATTCAGAATTTCATTAGGCGGTTGATCAGTGGAGTCGTGACGGATGAGCCCTGAGGTGCTCTAGGTCATCGGGGGGTCTTTATTGTGTTGGCTTTCCTCTTGAGTGCAATCTGATCGGTTCACCTTGTCTAGCAAAATGAAGAGCAATGAATGGGCATTACTACGCTACTTAACTATTACTGTTGTTAAACTTCAATGTGCAACTCGTCCTTAACTGTATGTGCTACGCACATGAATGACACCTCAAATCATGTAGCTTATTTAGGAGAGTTACTGTGCTGTTACTTTTATAGAATATATACAAAGATATTTAAAAAAAAATAATAATAAAAATGACAATTACCATACAACAAAATTCCTAAAACTTTAACAAAATTTAAAACAAAAACAGAAAACATTAAAAAATATATATTATTCGAAATATTGACAAAACCTATAATAGTATATCAAATCACACTGCATGGCACGAGACAAAAGTATTCATTTTATCAACATTTTGATTTATGAACATTATAGTTAACTAAAAGTAAAACCATTACAAAAAATCATTACTTGAAATATATTAAATGTTAACTGAAATAAAATATGATAAAATAAAACAAAATTATTATAAAACTAATTTTATTTTAACTTGCAGTACTAATACAACTAAAACTAATAAATAAATAAAAAATTATATAATGACATTATTAAACATTATTGAAAACATTAATTATTGAAAAACTGCCAATTTTCAGCCATCTCTGGCCTTTTTTGGGTACAATATGGATCAGATGGTCACAGTGTATACTAACTACCCAGCAAGAAAACTTTTTTTTTTTTTGAATATGAAATAAACCTAAAGAAAACACATGCACACATCTCCACAACCAGTCCTGATGCTTTTGAGCTAGCGGGGGAGGATAGCATTTAAACCTGACAGAGAGTGGCCTCGCCATCAGTCTACACCCTATTTTTCATTTGCGAAGGTGGTCACCGGCTATCTGCAAGGATGCGTGAAGCTGCTTCAGTGACAGTACTGCTAAATACATTACTCAGAACTACAAAGTGCACGGCTATTGATTATTCACTGCAGATGGAAAGTGTAAAACAGGAGCCAAGGTCCGTAGGAAGCAAATACACACAATAACCAGAGGGCCGCCTCGGAGGGATACTTGCTCTTTAGCGACCTATAACAGGGTAAATGTTATCCAGGACATGTGGGCATCAGCACATTTGGTTTTTGGAACATGAGCCCCACAGCAAACTGCAAGCCTGAGGGTTGGTCCTGAATGCAGAAGTCCAGCAGGGAGTTGGCTTGGCTTGGCCGCAGCCTGGTACCAGTGAGAGCGTCAACACTAGAGGGTGTTTATTGGTCTTCAGAGGACTTATGCTGGGGAAATGCCAATGGAAAAGTGAAGTCTCTGCAGAGAGCAAGGAAATGTTGTCTCGGCAAGGCAAAAGTGCACTGTGAGTTTCTATGAAAGGTCAGGGGGTCAAGCAAGGTGCCAGAGGATATTACTGACAAAAATAAAACAGCACTTGTATTGCTGCTGTACTACTTTGCATTTATGAGCCTTGTAGTTCAATTCTAGGTAAACAGTGTTACAAAAGCAAACTGGAGGAGACAAACCTATAACATTACACACATAAATAGATACAGATTGCATTTTATATCGATCTTTGGGAAAACCTTTTATGTGCAGGCTTTTAGACGTAGTAAATAAGTGAAATCTGAGTGGATTGCACTCAGAAACAAAACCCAAATTGCAGCTCTTAAAGGGGTAGTTCACCCCAAAAAGAATACAAAACCAATTGTTCTCACATGTCTTTTCCATACAATGAAAGAGGACAGTGATTTATACTGCCAAGCTCTAAAGGGAAAAACAAAAGCACTAAAAGTAGTTCATATAATTTGTATCCTATATTCCAAGTCCTCTAAAGTCACACAATAGCTTTGAACGAGTTAAAGACTGAAAATCATATTGAAAATATTACTGTATGCCACAGTTCTCACATATAATTTATATATATGCCTATTTGCATATTCCAGTTTGGTCCATCAAGACTTGTCAGGTTTGACACCTAAACGCACAAATGAGATCTATGGTAGCAGAGACTATATTCAGCAAATAACAGTTTTGACAGCACTTGTTCCCCTCAACTTTTGTTGTACCTTTGCAATCAACTAAAGAAATAAAGACATACATACCCAGCTAAAAAATATGTTCCAAGAACATTTTGCCAACACTCCTATTAGGTTATGAAAACATTATTTCTGAATGTTCTCTGAACATTCAAAATGACCAGTTATTTTTTAAATGTTTAAAAAACTTTTTTTTTTTTTTTTGAATGTTAATGGAACATTCCATTTCACCATTTTGCAAACATGGGAACGTTAGTTTTGAATGTTCTAAAACAAGTACTAAAATAAAATAAAAAAACATTAGACGAACGTCCAACAAAAACATTCCAAGAACGATATAATAACATTTTTGCGCTAATGTTTTGAGAACATGATTAAAGACCAAAGTCCTATTAATGTTACTGGAACAGAACGTTAGCCAAAATTTTGAGAACATGAGAACATTCTCTGTTAGTAAGGCACTAATTACTGTAGAAACAACAAGAGCAAAAATTTTCATTTTTGAGTACACTATCTTTTAAGAAAAGCACTGAAATCATATTCTAGTAGAACAAGAATATTAATAATCAAGAGTAATTATTCCCACAAGAGAAAATCCTGCATTTGGTAACTTACCAATAGTAGACACCACTGTCCCAACAAAATAAAACGCTCCTGTAAAATCCCATCTGGGTCGAAGAGCATCGACCCGAACTCCAGCAGTCCCGTGAATCACATTAATTTAAGATTCAGTGAAGGATACAGCGGGCTAAATGCAAATAAAGACATTTAGCGACCATATGAGGGAGATTTTTTGCACTTTTTGTGAGGCAAATCTCCAGTCTATCCGCTGTGGGATGTTTGATGCCCGCAGTCCTAATGAGGCTGATCTGGTTCAGATCAAATCTGTGCGCACTAGAGTAATACTATGATTTACACTACAGTAATACAGTGGACCTCTCCAATGCTTTTTATTAGACCGCAATGGTCGTTTATCAAAGTTAGATTTAAAATACGAAATCTACAGCTAATTTTCGTTTAAAAAATAAATTGAGAAAAATAAAATACCTTTTTTCTTTAACAGTCAGGTTTACGTCCCATTTTATCCTGGCTATATTCAAGAAAATATCGTTATTTTACACTTAAGCCAATGTTATTTTCTACTTCGTGTGTCCTTTTAGTATTTAAATCCCCTTTTCCACACTGCCCCTTTCATTCCAGCAATAAACAGCCTATTCTGTTTTATTTCATCTTTGTTTTGCGTCGTAAATTTGTTTTTTCGGAGGGAAACGCGAAGATGTTGAATCGGAGAGCGCGCGGGGCACTTTTTCACGCTCTTTTTCTCTCGAAATCGGATGGGACCGCCAAAAAAGGAGAAATGTGTAGACAGTAACGTGATAAATGTGGTAAATGTTGCTTCCATTCCCCAGTAAGTCCATTTCGCGCACGCGTTGCCACAAACTCCACACGAATCACGAGGAAACGATGCGGCACGCGTTACTACAACTACTACACTATTAGAGCTGCTTGAGCGCACAACGGTAACAGCAAGAGGTGGGTCTGTTTTTTCTGACAATTAAACGATGGCATAATTACCTGTGGTAAGCATTACCACTGCCAATTGCGAGTCCTGACGCAGTAATGGATGAGTCTGACTGCAATGCAATGGCTGGCATGTTTAAAATCCAGAGCCTTTCATGCAGTAAGTGTTGGATTACATAAATCAGCCGTTTCCTGAACTGTCAGGTCATACTGTACCTCACTGTTTTCATGCTACAGCGTAGTTAGGTAACCAAGTACTGATTAATCCAAATTAACAACATCTACTTAAAGGAATATTGCATTCATAAAAGAATCACTGTATCATTTACTCATGGTCATGTCCATTACAAACCCTAATGAGTTTTTCTTCTGTGAAATACATAGGCTAATGAGGTGTTTAGCAGAATGCCAAAGCTGCCTTTTTCATACATTAGGGGTGTTTTCACTCGCTTTTATTCATCGGACAGCTGTCTGATCTTGGGGAGAAAAACGTGTGATGCATTTTAGATGGAAAGCTTTGTAATCAAGGTGTGTTGACATGCATATAAGACGGGATATAATTGTTCAGGCCACATGCATAAACTTTACAGCTCCCAAACCGAGCAACGTCAGCATACAAAAGTTTGTGAGCCCCAAGTTGAGTGACCAAGTGTGAATATACATAAGCTCAATTATCAGTAACTGTCAAAAGCACCATAAAAGTAGTCCATATGACTTGAGTGCTTGCAAATTTGTGAATTCACCATTGTTATGCACTGAAAATGTTCTGCCACATACCATTGGTGTTTGTGCATATTCAAACCTGGTCATTAAAGGACATGCAAGACCCAATGATATTTCAAGTCGAAACTGGCTTGTCCCATTTTGAGGCATGAATGAAATTTGAGAGCTATGGTGGATTGCATGCATAATATATTGTTTTGGCTAAAAGCATCTGGTCAATGAATAAATAATAACATCATTGTACATATTTTGGTAAACCACTCCTATGTACAGATGTAGTAGTCTAACCATTAAGAGACGGTTAGACAAAGGTTAAAAATCCACTTGCAAGAAGGATTCGCCCTGAAACAAGAGAGCGATTGAGATTACAGATCTGTTCTATCACCACTGTGTCCTTGAAAAAAAAATCACTTAACCCATTTTGCTCTAGGGAAGACATGATACTTGATTCGTCAGCTTACCCAGACTGATTTCCCTTTCTTCTCGGGAGTCCAATTCAAAGCTTCACTTCTGATATAGAAGGCCCTTTCCAAAACATGAAATTAGAGTGTGACGAGAGGGGCAGGGCCGAGAGCCGAGGGAACGGAGCGAGGCCGGTGGAGTAAATGCTAATGCACGACACCTGCGCCACTCACCGGTCTCGAGTCTCACGGAGGAGCTCCGGAAGGATAAAAGGAGGAGTGACGACAGTGTTAGACGAGAGAGGACCAGGCCTGGAGTTTATTTTGTGTTTTGGTTTTGTTTGTGCGCGACAGTCGTCCGCGAGGGGCTGTCGCGCTATTTTGTGTTTGTTTACTTTATTAAAGTTTTCTTTAAATGTTCGCCGGTTCCCGCCTCCTTCTTCCCGTGACTACGAACTACGTTACATAGAGTTAATCACATCATTAAATAATGTTATTCAAAGCAGGTTACATGAACGCAACATTTCAGTCGGGCTGGTCTACATACAACAGTTCAATACTATGTAGGATGATGAACTATGGATTTTGAAATTTCATTATGCAATTAAATGTTTAAAATTAAAGCCTTAACATAAAGGGATAGTCCACCCAAAAATCATTTATCTATCTATCTATCCAAATTAATTATTAGAAAATCTGTGGCACTTACCACAGTAACACTTCTAATCAACCTTTTCATTGATGAGTTCTTAAGCCAACTGACTTAAAAAGTGTGTCCACAATGCAATATTTACTTGTTTTGAGAATGTCATTATTAAACAAGAGCCCAATTTTCTAGGTTATCAACCCTGACAATGGCAAAATCAATCAATTCTCTACTTACACAAACACACACACAGACACTACTGCTAATAATGTAGATCATGACCATGATGATGACGTTGATGATAGTAACAGCAGGGATAAACAAGGCCTCCGTTTTAATATAAAGCAAACATTATGTTTATCTATAATGCATAGCATTCAGTATGTAGCATGGCTTAACTGGCTATAAATATGTTTCTTATGCAGTTTTGTTGTTCCCATGATAAATGCAAAATGCAAATGTAACTGAATTATTTATAGCTGTTTAACTGCTGAAATGGCTTTTGTCACAAAAACACAGAGACTCATCATTATGTTGTTCCTTTTGGCGTCTCAATGCCAGAAATGTGTCAACACTTGGAGCTCTTACTCTGCAATTTAAATGTATTACGTTGCAGTTCCTAAAAACAAACACAAAACAGCATTCACAACCCATTGTACTTGCATAATCTGACTTATTTACATGTTAAACAGCATTTAATTAGACTTAAAGGAATGGTTTACCCAAAAATGAAAATTTGCTGAAAATTTACTCACCCTCAATGAGTGCTAGTATTTACAATCCTCTGCAGTGAATGGGTGCCGCCAGAATGGGAGTCCAAACAACTGATAAAAACATGACAGTAATCAATTAACATCTTGTGAAACAAATCCACCATTAAGGCATTTTAACTTTATACTGTTGCTTCTGGCCAAAGAAGTCCATAATACATAATAACGCTTCCAGTAAAAAAGTCCATCTCCTGTTGTCCTCTCACATCAAAATCCACCCATATATTTGTTTAGAGCTGTTTTGGACTGTTTTTGGACTTTTTCACTGGAGAAAGCAATGTTATGGATTGTGGTCTCATATTTTAGCTGGAAGCAACAGTTTGATGTTAAAAACGTTTTAATGATGGATTTGTTTCTTACAAACATGCAGCTTTTCACTTCACAATCATTAACTGATGGACTGGAGTGGTGTGGATTATTGTGATGTTTTTATCAACTGTTTGGACTCTCATTCTGACGGCACCCATTCACTGCAGAGGATCCATTGGTGAACAAGTGATGACATTTGTCCAAATCTGTTCCCATGAAGAAACAAAGTCATCCACATTTTAGATGGCCTGAGGATGAGTACAATTTTAGCAAATTTTCATTTTTGGATGAACTACAACTACAACTCGTAATAACATAATAATCATATATTAAGAAATGAAATGTTGAATTCATGCTCTGTTTCATTCACCAAAGCTAATTTTAAGTTCATTTCGTACTAATTTGCTGGTTGCATGCTCCTATATCGTTATGCATATATACTTCATCTTGGCTGGGAACACAGAGAGAATTGCTGATGAGACAAGAGGAGTCTAGCTAATGACAAAACCTCTGCCTGTCTCTCTACTCTATTGACGCTGCTTAGGCAGCAGAGGCAGAGAACATATGGTTGCATCTATCACTAACTTGTCAAGATTCACCCTGAAAGTTGCTGTTTATAATTACCTGAGCAATTAAATGGCACTGCCTCTCTGGAGGCTGACAGCAGTGGAGGGGCTGAGTTAGATCTGTGGAGGGGTTGGCATTGGGGAAGACTATTGATCCGGTGTCATTCTGCAAAGAACAAGTGGCAGAGTATGCTCTGATCTAGAGATACAGTATGTTCACCTATCATCAGCACACACACATACACATTTATCTGACTGAGCAAACTTGCTGCACATCTGCAGATGGAAGTTGGTGTGCAAGGATAGAATTACTGAAGCATTAACCGTGTTTGATATAGTCCAGGGTTTCTGCAGGTTTTATAAAGGTAAATTTACAACATTTTCAAGATCTTTTTAAGGCCAAGTAAAGAAAACTTCAGGAATAAATTAAAGGGAACACAATATGTCAATGTGGTCTCTAAATGTACATAAATGTCTACGGAGCAGACAATGAGCTGTAACACTTCAAAGATTGAAAATACAACACACCAAAAAAAAACAAAAAAAAAAAACAACTAGAATATGGAAACAACTTTTACTGTACCTTCTGATCACACTGCAAAAAGTGATGCTTTTCCTCAGTATTTTTGTCATGTTTTCAATATGCAATTTATCTAAAAATTCCTAACAGCTTTACATCACAGGAATAAATAACATTTTAAAATATATTCACATAGAAAATAGTTATTTTAAATTCTAATAATATTTCACAATTTTACTGTATTTTTAATCAAACAAATGCAGCCTTGGTGAGCATATAGGAGACATATTTCAAAAACATCTTAGCAACCTCAAACTCTTAGTGAACGATGGAGAAATGTAAAGCAGCAGGAACGACCTTCTTCCAAATGAGAAACTCAGTTCAATCAGGTATGAAACTTATGAGACATTTTAAGTGCCCTAAGTTAAATTTGAGGAAAAGAGCCCCATCAGAATACTGTATCAGTTGAAAAGGCTCAGAAATGAGGTTCTGCTTACTCAGCGTTCTCTCAGAAGAGATGTATTAAAATAATATGGATATGAAAGCAAGGCCATCGCCAGTGTAGTACATGACATTACCACCAAATAAAACATGACCTCACATCAATGCACTATGGGATTTAAACCGGATCCCTTGTTCTCTATATCATGCGGCAAAATAAACTTTAATTCTATAAAGAAGTAGCTGCATGTAGGTGGAACTACAGAAGATGCAGTTTACTTTACCTCATGTAAAACTGAGCAGTGATTACCTGAAGTGTCCTCTTGTACCACAGGAAAAACAATTGCCATATGTTTGCTTGTATCAGCCATAAACCATGTGGCCCTGCAGAAATGGATGCTCCGCTGGCTGCATATAACCACAAAAGAGCAATAATCATCATTATCAGGTAATAAGCAGAGGTTTCTTATTGTAGTGAATGTCTCTGTGTAAATGATACTCATTGCAGAAGGAACAACTGAGGAAAACAGAGCTGTGATCATAGAGTGTCCTTTAGGTGGGTCCTCTGCAATAAATCAATGCAGCGTAAATCATATCATAACCTTCATAAAATAGTCATATTGGGAAAGCAATAAAAAAGATGGAAACAAAGAAAATATTCCAGTACTTACATCAGACTTTCATTTCCAGGTAGCACAGCCAGGCCAGTTTAATGATATATAACATTTCACGATAATTCAAAGTGCTTTATATAAAGAGAAGTGGAGAGGAAAGATAGAAAAAGACACATAAAAGTTAAGTTTAAGATCAGTTAGGAACATAAAAATGAATATGAAAAACAATTATAAAAAACTTTAAAATTAAACATTTATTTTTTTATTTATTTAGTCATTTAGCAGACGCTTTTATCCAAAGCGACTTACAAATGAGGACAATATATATGTGTGTATATGTTATATCTAAACTCTATAAATTTAGCAGACGCTTTTTGTAAGCGACTTACAAATAAGAAAAAGTAATTAAAACTAAAAGCTAAAACTCTATAAATACTATATATATACACATATAAGAAAATAAAATAATTTAAATAAAAATGACAAATGCGTACAACAACATTTCAAAACTAAACATTTAAATGAAAACAAAAAAATAAAGCTAAAAACAAAAGGTATGAACAAAAGGTATGAGTATAATAATGATTCTAACATAACACTAAGCCAAACACCAAAAAACAACTACATGTGTGTATGTACAGCCACACACATATACATATACATGTACATATATATAAATACATTCAATATATATATATTATTTCATTTCCATTTTGTATGTTGAAGTACTGAAATAACTCAAATTAAATAAAAGTAAAACTTAATAAAAAGCCTATATAGACATAATAAAAAAACTAATAAAATGACAACATGACTACAACTGTAACTAAAACTAAAATAGATAACTAATACAAATCAAAGTACATTAGTTCATCAGTAATCCCAAAAAAATAACACTGAGGCAAACACACATGCTAAAATAACAACAAGTTACTGACACATAGTAAGAAATAGTTTTTAGAGTTTTTAAAAAACATTTTAGAGTGATCTATGAAACAGGTGCCTTTTCCATTTTGAAAAATAGCTTTTCAAGTCAATTACTGTAAAAATAGATCAAAGAATGACTTTATGCATTTATAAATTGCATTTTGCCAAATCAAGGAAGATTAATAAAAATTAACATACTGATATATTCTGAACTTGAACGCGAATGCTCTTCCTCTTCCTGTCATTGCATTCAATAAAATGGCTTTAATAAAACAGAGAAAAGTGTTAAATTGTTCTACTATTTAATGTGACAAGATGAATGATACATGACAAATGTTTTTAAAGAAAAATAATATGCACTGTTGTGTAGAGGTAGATAAGCAGTGTTCACAGCAAAACATAATTAATAATACATCAGTTAATAATAATACATTTATAATAAAACAATTAATAATAAAGGGTTTTTATATAAATGATACTGGTTTTGTGTGAATAAGAAAATCCAGGATGGTGTAAAATCTGTGTACAATATTAAACACTTATATGCTTTTTAAAGATTTCTGTATATTTTTATATTATTTTTGTATATTTGGTAATATATACGTATTTTATAAAGTATAAAATTGCATAAAATTGAATATATATATGTATATATATATATATATATATATATTCACACACAAACATACACCACCATCTTTGATGATTTAATATTTCATTAATTTGTGTACAATATTAAATGCTTTTCCTATTCCTTGAAGAGTTCCATATATTGTGGACTCAAACGTACTCCTAAAACAAATGCGACATTACCCTATTACCTAAAAAATGTATATGTTTAAAATACATTTATTTCATACCAAGTATAGTTCAAATCTATTAACATATGTATTGACACATCACTCGAGACTTACTGATATAAAAATTATAATTAAACTTTATTTGGAGTACAACTTGTGCACAATGCACATTTCTTAATATTATGCCTAAATTATTATATGATCTTTGAATAATATCAGTCTTTAAATGCAAGATATTTAAAGTGTACCTTAAGTATACTTGCAATAGTTCCACTTTAGCACAATCAAATATACTTCAGTACATCTTTAGTTGGACTTCAGCACAATTAAAGTGCATTAAGTACAAAATTAGTAGTTCCAATTTAGCAGACTTTAAGTATACCAGTTTAGTATACTAAAAGTACAATTGCAGCGTATTTTTATTAAGTACATAAATATGTGAATGTATTTGTAGTATACTTAGCATGAAATACGTGTATTTCAAATACATTTTAGTATATTAATTTTTCACTAGGGTAGCCCATCTTCACAAATTAATTTAGGCATGAAATCAACACTGATTAGCTTGTTGGCTCGCCACCCTCCCGTAGTAATCACACTGTCACTGATATAATGGCGACAGCAACTCTCAAGGGTCAGTGAAAAATATTTCTCCACCACAGGCATGTGTCTCAGATGTGATGGTGTTTTGTAGCAGCAGCACTTCTCCTTGCGTTCAGACGTGTCTCGGAGGCCTGTGCGTCGCTGTTGAGTGCTTTGGACAGGTGCCACGTCATTGAATTGCGCTCCTCTTACACCTGCACAATCTGTTCAGCAGCAATCCCATCAGCCCACGGGAGCTTGAACAAGACCTGCAGAACAAACACATTACTTCCTGACAGGGTAAATGCTGTTTGACTCTTAGCAACTTTATAGCTCCATTCCAAATTTAATAAACTGCCTTGCTGTAGATTACATAAGTACAGTATGTACAAATTACCGTCATCCACACTGCGTTCTGCTTTGTTGATTCCTCATCCTCTACGACCTTCACCAAAGGTTGCACAAAGACATATAATCTCTCTCTTTTATCAGCCTTTACACAGACCTGGACAAATATTTACTAAATGGCAAAACCTCCACCTTCTTTTCAAACAATCATGGGTTCGATTCCCAGCGAATGCATGAACTGATAAATCGTCTACCTTGAATGCAGTGTAAGTCACTTTAAATAAAGGCATCTGCCAAATGCATGAATGTAAAATCTATATCATAACTGTAAAAGTAAATGTACTGTGAAACTTAATGACTGTATTAACCACTAGCATTTGGCTCTGTGTTCTGTAGCACTACAATATGCATCAATTGATCTGTCTTCATTCCTCTGAACAAACCGCAAAACATCACCGACCTCAAAGCAAAACTGACATCTCAGATTGGAAACGGCCCACAAAAGTTTACAGCTCGAGAAGAAAATAGGGCAAAGTAACTAGAGTCTATTAATAAATCAGGAAAATGCGTTAATGCAAATTACCTTTGAGGGTCTGATCCATAATTAGTAGCGCTTTCTGATTTAAACATCACTATTACATTTGCTCACCCATAAGGATATAGGTATTATTTGAACGAACCTAAAAATACAAATGCTTCAAATCACTAAATGTGCCCTTTTAAGCCAAAAAAACATATAATACTTGACTTTCAGATGAGAGAAAAAAAGCTAACCTAGAGATAAAAATATCACTCTTTTCACTTGAGGCAGCAAGTGATTGTGATGTTCAGCTGCAGAGGAAGAAGAAAGACACAACTGAGTGAGACTGGAGAAATATAAGCAGAGGACAGTTGGGCATCAGCAATATTTGAGCTTGTATAATAGTGCTGTGTAAGAGTATGTGCATATAAATGAATGCAGAGCCACTATGGCAGAATGTCTGATGGATTATTCATGAGTAAAAGTCATGTGAGGATTGAAGATGTGATGCTTTTGAACCACAGTCAGGGCGATGTTTGACAACACATATTTACTTATGACATCCCTTATTTCTAGGTTTTGTTTGGATGAAAAAAAGAAAAGACGTAGAGAATCTGAAAATGAAAGGGCAGAGGAAGAACAAAGAACTCTGAGATTCAGTTCAATACCTCTTCAGGATCCTTTGAAACACTGGACTGGAGTAAATAGTAGAGATGAGATGCTTCCAACGATCTCTGACTACTGTGAAACGAAATAAGATGCTCTACAGCACATCATAAGAAACAACAACAAAAAAAGAACAAGTGAACAAAAAGAAGAAAGAAGAGAAAAAAGAAGAAACAAATAAAGAACAAGTGAACAATATGTAGAAAGAACGATCAATAGAATAATAGAAAAAATAACAGAAAGCACCTTCACATTGTACCTGTCTTTACTCCCTGCTGTAATACATAAATAATGCATGAAAATATACATAAATGTATGTACTTTCTCTCAGATATCTGTACAGAGAGTCTCACTGGATATAATTTCACCCCTCAAAGAGGACAGCTGAACAAAGCACTATGATTATGGGGAACGGATACTTTTAGATTAAACAATTCAAAAAGCCAAGATGGGAAAACACATGGTTTTTCTGAAGAAAATGCATGTGTAAAAATCACCACCATGATGTCAGGGCGTTGCTATGTGGTCGCCAGGGTGTTGCTAGGTGGTTGCAAGAGCTAAAATATGCCTCCAGTGTAAGTCTGTGGGATTTCGACCAGTTTTATCGCCTGCCAAGTGGAAATCTTGCATCTGATTGCTTAGAAAATGCAACAAGTCACATGATTTGAGACATCATTGACATCTGTAGGACGAATCACTGAGCAACAGTAACAGTGATGGTTGCATTAGCAAACAGCACTAATGAGGCAGAATGAATCCGTTTTATAGAACTACAAACACCTCTCTCTGACAGCTCGATCATTTACAGTAGATTCATCATCACTAATGAAATGCATTTGGCAGCTCACTGACAAAAATGTAGTAGATGCATTAGAAGTTCTGTCAGAGTTTGTGAAAATCACACGAACACAAACAAACCATCCATCTCTCAGACAGTTGTGCTGGGTGAGTTATGCATAACACATTACCGGATCATTGTCTATATTTGATGATAGCTTCCTTCCCCGATCTCCTCTCGGTCCTGGGGCTCCTGCAAGAGAGCGTTAACACTTTACCAGACAATAAACTTTTCAGCAGAGGCCACAAGGCTTCAATATTCCTATATGTGTAAATATGAAAAGTAAACCAATGTCAGAATCTGTTGGGACAAAGTTATGAGGCTGTGGGAGATCATCACAGCACTTACACAAAGATGATGTCATAAAATAAGATGAACCACATGATAACTGACATACTGTAGAATCCATTTAATATTAATGTTTTTAATATATTCATATTAATAGCTTTATGAGAGATACTTTTTCAAAGACGTTATTTACTTACTGATATACAAAAAAAGATTATGGCAGTAATAATTAATCAAATACACATTAACTGATGAAGAGCCATTAAATGATATCCAGCATACACTGAAAAAATATATACTTTGGACAAATTAAAAAAATTAATATATTGTTAAATTTGTTGCAGCCAAATTTATTTGTTTTTCTAAAATTTAATTTGGGTGTCAATTTTGATTGAGTCTTAATCATCAGAAAAAAAGCAAAAACATTAAAAGTAAAAAAGATTAATTATAATATTCTTAAGATTTACATGTGTTGGAATAAATCATGTATGGATTCAAATGAATCAATTAAGTAACAAAAACCTTATTTGTTCACGTAACTTCAACATCGAAGATAGATTAGCCATATGAATGTAGAATTTCACCTAAGATAAAAAAAAAGAATTAAAAAAAATTGGTCATTGTTTAATTTTACTTACTATTGCTTATTTTACAACTCGAAAGACTTTTTCGAAAGACAATCGAAAGATTGTTTTTGTAAAGTCTTTTTGAAATATGTATCATTTTTTGTTAAATGCAAAATACTATACTACTACTACTAATAATAATAATACATTTTAATATTATTTATTTATTTATTTATGAAGAGTGTTTTTTGCTTTTAGACAAACTGAACAAAACAGAAACCGTGATTTATCTCAGAGACTCAGAGAGATATATATATACTGTATATGCACTGTACTATATATACTGTCAAACCAAAATTTAGACAAGCTATCTATTATCTACTATAACATAATGAAATATTTGTGACTTGTGTGTGCATTTATGTTGCTTGCAAAAATGTTATGCTATCCGTCAACCGACAAACTTACATTTTACCGCCGTAATGTTCCAGCATGTACCAGCAGGGACTAACTACCACAGCTAACCAGCTAAACCAGCAGCAGTGAGGAAGACTGATCTGAGAGCTGCTCTGGTAACTGGAGGCTGATCAGATCTTGGAAGGTCATCAGCTCTGCTGAAGCCAGTTGGGCTGCAGTGGAATGATTTATTCCATAATGTCTGCTATGTTGGCACCTGACGCGCTCAGCCCTCGGCATGCCAGCGGCCCTCTTCCTCACTGCCGGTGACACTCCAGGCACATCCAATGCCTGGGAACTTTTTCTTGCAGTGACTAAAGCTTTAAATGAAAGCATATTAACGGTATGTTCTTCCACCTGCATCTCTTCAGATGAAAGTTCACTGGTTGAATCTCATGAAAACATATGCAGGTCACATTTCATCCTAAAAAACATTTTAGGTAAAGAAAATTAAGCCTATTTGGGATTGAACTACTAATAATAATAATACATTTTAATATTATTTATTTATTTATTTATGAAGAGTGTTTTTTGCTTTTAGACAAACTGAACAAAACAGAAACCGTGATTTATCTCAGAGACTCAGAGAGATATATATATATATATGCACTGTACTATACATACTGTCAAACCAAAATTTAGACAAGCTATCTATTATCTACTATAACATAATGAAATATTTGTGACTTGTGTGTGCATTTATGTTGCTTGCAAAAATTTTATGCTATCCGTCAACCGACAAACTTACATTTTACCGCCGTAATGTTCCAGCATGTACCAGCAGGGACTAACTACCACAGCTAACCAGCTAAACCAGCAGCAGTGAGGAAGACTGATCTGAGAGCTGCTCTGGTAACTGGAGGCTGATCAGATCTTGGAAGGTCATCAGCTCTGCTGAAGCCAGTTGGGCTGCAGTGGAATGATTTATTCCATAATGTCTGCTATGTTGGCACCTGACGCGCTCAGCCCTCGGCATGCCAGCGGCCCTCTTCCTCACTGCCGGTGACACTCCAGGCACATCCAATGCCTGGGAACGCACAGAATCTGCCCTTTTTCTTGCAGTGACTAAAGCTTTAAATGAAAGCATATTAACGGTATGTTCTTCCACCTGCATCTCTTCAGATGAAAGTTCACTGGTTGAATCTCATGAAAACATATGCAGGTCACATTTCATCCTAAAAAACATTTTAGGTAAAGAAAATTAAGCCTATTTGGGATTGATTGCATGGTGACAATTAAGAGTCATGAAGAATTTCTCATTAACATAAATTAGTCTTTTGTAATTCTCATTATCTTCAACGGTGGTTTACATTAGAGTACTTTATTATTGTACATTAAAAAAAAGTAGTTGTTTTTTAATCATAAGCACAAAAGACTTGACTTGAGTTAAATTCTAGAGTTTGGTGTAAGCATGTTGCTAATCATATTAAATTATTATTATTGTTGTGTGTGTGTGTGTGTGTGTGTGTGTGTGAAATATACATGAAAATACCCACAAATTTAAATTAAAAAAATTATTATTATTATTAAAAAAATCTAAATATATATATTATATATTATATACTGTATCTATCTCAATTTTAATTAAAGTATGTTATTTCTGTTACTCTATTTATATTTACAAATTATAATAAAAATGTTTAATAATAATAATAATAATAATCAGCACAAATCATTTTTGAAACAGAGAATGCATGCTTAATTATTATGAACATAAGTCACAATGCTAAGTATCTTAATGATCTTAATATAGGCTCTATCTTCTTTAAGCAAAATATAATTTATTATTATTTATTTATTCTTCTGATTTTAAGGCCAAATGTGACCTGCACATTTGGATTTGTAAGATTCACAAACACATTATATTCAGCATGCCAGTATTTTATGATGCTGTAATCATTTACAATTTCATTGACCCTGATGATGTTTTCATAAATAATTATGGTGACTCAATGCATCATAACTGATTTCAGCCACATAATAAGCTTTTGTGTGATTTACTGTTGTAACGCCCTCACTGTACTAACTGTACAGACTTCAAACTATTTTACAACTTTATGTGAAAGAACACAAGCTACAATCTAAGTATTTTCATTTTGGGAAACAGCAGAATAATAAATGTGATTTGATGTTATTAAGCCATGGCACTATACATCAATCAACATTTAAATAATGGCCATCTTAAACACAGGAAACCAGCAGTGCAATATAGAGGAAGCTTTGAGACTGTAACTGTGGCCTTGAGTGAACTGTCATTTTACGGTAATGTCTCATAAAAGGCCTCTTACTGGAAATAAACGCATTTGAACTGCATCTGATTGGTCACTAGTGCCATGAAAGGATCACCGTCAGTTATTAATGTCGCCAGAGATGGCAATGACCCTGCCAACGGCCCTTAAGAGACCAGTCGTCATGTGCTTCTATTATAACCCTTGGACTGATGCATTACTGTCATTCGTTATTTACTTGTTTCTACAATATGTGCAGCATGAAATCTGCATCATTAATCAGGTTGCGCGACACATTTCAAAACAGCATCCAGAATGAGAAAGCGCAGTAAATGAATGAGACTGAGAGTTAACACTGACATAATGAAGCAAAACGAAGAAAACAGATGTCTCGATTAAAATTAATCTGCCAGTAAACCAGTAAAAGCTCAACTGTTACACAAACATCATCTATCAGGTGGTAAAAATAATAATTACTGATCATCCAGCCACTGTTTGGGTTTAATATGATATTGGATTAATATTTGTCACTGATAAACATAAGTCCGTTTCCACCATGGAAAACAAAAGGAAAAAAAAAAGAAAATAGGTAATGGCAACTTATTACATAATTCAGTCTTTTTTCACAAAATGTTGAGAAAAAGACTAAAAAAAGTTGCACCCTTTTTTATTTTTTATTCTGTGGTGGAAACAAACAAAAAAAAACAGAATTGCGAGTTAGAAAGTCAGAATTCTGCGTTTATATCTTGCAACTGTGACGTTCTCTCAGAATTCTAAGTTTACCCCCCGGTTTCACAGACAAGGCTGAAGCTAGTCCCAGACTAAAATGTATGTTTGAGCTGTCTCAACAGAAAATATCTTGCTCTGACATATCTTAAAATATGTCAGTGTCATCGTTCTGTGTCAAGATGCACACCTGTAATGTTTTCTTCTAAGGCATTTTTGTAAAAGTTGCTTAAATATCTTAATTTAACTAAGGCCTAGTCCTGGCTTAAGCTAAGCCCCGTTTGTGAAACCAGGCCTAAATCACAAAATTCTGTTTTTTTCCCGCCATGGAATAAAAAATAAAAGGAGGTTATTGTGACTTATTTTCACACTTTTTCCCTCACAATTCTGAGTTTATTTTAAAGGGGTCATATGATGCGATTTCAATTTTTCCTTTCTCTTTGGAGTGTTACAAGCTCTTGGTGCATAAAGAAGATCTGTAAAGTTGCAAAGACTAAAGTCTCAAATCCAAAGAAATATTCTTTATAAAAGTTAAGAGTCAGCCACACCTACCTAAAACGGCTCGTTCGAACACGCCCCCACATACCTAC